GAGGGGATCCATCAATGAAGGGGCCCTGAGGTGAGGGGATCCAGCAACAAGGGAGCCTCGGGATGAGGGGGCCGGGGACCGGGGGGAGGCTGGGACAAGGGGACCTGTGGATGAGGGGGGATGGGGATGAGGGGACCCAGGATGAAGAGGCCCCTGAGGGGACCCTGAGATGAGGTGGCCTGGAGACAAGGGCACCCATCCACGAGGGGGCTGTAGCATGAAGGGCCCGGGAAGTGTGTGCTCACCTTGAGCCACTGTTCCGCCTGCTCCCGGCTCTGCACGGCCAGCACCAGGGGGTCCATCCCGGGCTGGCTGACCCTCAGCTCATGCTTCTTCTTCTTGCCGTCCTTGGGGGTGTAGGAGACGCTGCAGCCCTGCAGGGACAGCTCCATCTGCGGCTGCTGGTCCTTGGAGCTCTTGTAGCACTGTGGGGACATCACATGGTCACCACAGCAGTGACAGCTTAGTGACGACCTGACAGCACGGTGTGTGACCTACTGGACAATTAACTGAAGGGCCAGAGGTTCGAATCCACCCAGCAGAGACCTTGTGATCACCACAGCGATGACACCATACCTGACACATCTGACCCTAACAAACATCAGAGGCTCAAGCCCCACCTCTGAGGCAGTGACCATGGGCTCACCACAGTGTTAACACAGTGAGTAAGGCCCAGGGCCTGGCATGTCAGAACACTGCCTGAAAGGTCAGAGGTTCTAATCCACCAGGGGCTCTGCAGGGAAAGATGGGCTGTCCCCTCTCATCCCACACCACAGCCCCAGGATCTGCAGCCCTAGAAGCCTGAGCAGACTCACCCATGAGAATCAATCTCATGACAGTCAGAGGCTGTGGCCTGGGTTACCAGGACAACATGAGTATCGGTGAGGTAAATGGAGTTGCAGCTGGATGGTAGAAATGGTTAGTGGTTGGAAAATGGAGATACAAATGGGAGGAACGTCACTAACAAAGCACTGAGCCAGGTGGTATTTTACCTCCTGTTGTTGTTGTTATGTGTCGTCGAGTCGCTTGCGACTCATAGCGACCCTGTGTACAAGAGCCTAAACTCTGCTCTATCCTGTGCCAAATTCACTGTCTTCGACACATCTACTCCAATTACCCCAGTAACTGAATCAATCCACCTCATAGAGGGTCTTCCTCTCTTGTGCTGTCCCTCCACCCTCCCAAGCATGACGTCCCTCCCTAAGGACTGATCTCTCCTTGCAACATGTCCAAAGTATGTCAGACGAAG